GCCATATTAAGGCCAACCTCTAAACAGACATGTTCAGAAGCGGCGGCCGGTGACGGGGAAAACGCTTATACGACATATACGAAAGCATAACATGTCCAGCAAGGACGACATTTAAATGGTTAAGTCCCACGCTATTAGATTTGATCCATAGCTTGTCCGTAAGACAAGTTACTGGAAGAAACGGATCGAGGCCAATCTTAAGGAACCTCGGGAGAATTTCAAAACACAATTCAGATAATAGTGGTTCTTGTTTAACCCTTCCGTCATTGACCCCCTTAACGGTCTAGCCGGAAGCTACAACTTCAATGCTTAAATAGCATCGGGTTAGCCACCTTTGGGGTATTCACAGGGTCCATCAGAGGCCAGATCTGTTGGGGGGAGACCTGTTAGTAGCTAGTTATGAGATAGCGGAGGTAAAGGGTTGGACCTACATGTATGCCATAATCCTATGTATCTAGATAGTTTTAGAGCTTCTTATGAATCAGCTTCGTTACTACCGCATCCACTAGTAGACTATACATATATAAAAATCTGACCAAGTAAGCTGGTGAGCCTCCCGTACGAGCCATACACATGATGCCTTGATTGGTAGTTGTCTGTAGGTACCTAGCCTTGAAGGGTTTGGTAAGCGGAGACTGCTCACCTAACTTGGAGGTACTCTTAGTTAATCAGAACTCAGTTGGTGTGGGTGTTGATGATTTATTAGTCACCTGGCTCTGTTTGTTAGTAGACAACGCCAACTACCTAGTTACCTAGGTGATGAACACTTGCTATTCCACCTTGTTCTTTTCATCGGGCGGTCACGAACAAAAATCACACTAGCTTCCTAGAAGTTCTCTTTATAAGAAACCTCGAAAACCGTCGTACCGTTCTAACAATCACTACCTTTTCATCTTTTTCTTCCAACGAGAAGCATCCAAACAACGCTCCCAACCCGCACAAAACATCATCCACCACTACCTCTATCTACTATGGATCACTCGGATGAGGCCGGTGACAGTAAGTTAATTATTTTCTTTGCCTCAATTATTTCCATCTCCCTCGTGTCTCTCGGCATTACAAGGCCATCCGTCGCAGGCTTCATTCATTCCGGTGTGCTGTATTTTACAACCACTACTTGAACACTGCTTTCCATGCTCCCGTGATCGTTTCGCTAACAATTTCCATTAGAACGTCTTCCCGTCGACAGTGCTGGTGAGGATGAGTCTCTCGTCATGGTCCCCTCTTAGGTAGTAAAGGGACTACTGAACGGGCGAACTTCTCTACCCTACCGCACCCGATCCCATCCCGATCCCTTCCCCAACATCCCCCTATTCCCGAGACCAACTCTGCCTATACTTGCACCCAGACCTGCACCTCCCATTGCCCCAGTACCCGTGGCCATGCCAGCACTGGCACCAGCATGGCCTCTGCCGGCGGCGCCAATACCAAGTGTGGCACCAATTGCCACCGCACCCCAAGCCCAAGGCCACCAGCAGGCCGTCGACCGCCTCACCTGCCGCGTCTGTGGCAAGAAGTTCACCATGTTCTCCTCGGTCCGACGTCACACCCGAGCGGTTCACCTAGGCACGCAGTGCCACTGGGGGGCGTGCAACGAGGAGTTCGGAGACACGCACTTACTAGAGCGGCACATTCGCGCCCACCAAGACTACGAGGCAATTGGAGATGCGGAAAACGAGCTCCTGTGCCATTGGCCTGGCTGCGGTCGCCGCTTTGACCATGACAAGGCCGAGATGTTCCGCCATATCAAGATGCACAACACCCGATCCTAGGCATGGTCCGGTAAGTAATCGAGCCCTACATGATTTTACTGTTTGATACCTAGGCAATTAGCTAACTAAGACTATTAGAAATTATTAGATGTCAATTCTAATGTATCTGCCGTGGACGAGTGATGCTCTCTAGGGAGCAGGAGAAACGAATTTCTAGTTGCCTGCCCAAGGCATGAATGTTTTTTTCTTTCTTTTCTGCAAGAAAGATGCACATATGGAACACCACTGGAGTTAAAAATTCAATCAAACATGATCGTTTCTGTCTTCCTCAGACACCTTGTTTACTTCGTAAGGCCCTGACATATAATTGCACCGGCCTGGTACCAGTGCTCTTTGAACCCGACTGTAGATCACTATTTAAGGGCTCGTGGATATCGTTCTGCCATAAAGTCGTGTACACTGCTGTATTGGCATGACACATGAGCGCTTGCCGGATCGAGTCGATACAATGATCTACGAGATCTTTATTAATGTGATATCTCTAGTATGATAAGTCGTCTAAATACCTGAATGGGCCTTTGAGAAGGTCTCCGGATGCTTAGTATTTGCCAACCGCGGCCCGTAGTAGTCCCAGTGTATGACCCTTCGCAGAGTGTTGAGGCAATGTATATGATGGAAAACACCGAGCACGCCGGCATAATCGCCTCCATTAACTTGGAGGCGATCTGTCGTATTCTCGTGGATGAGCTTGAGTTCTTCACTAGTAACTCTTACGTTGCGTGCTTGAGAAATGTTAGCAAACCTGGAGTAAGGGGTATCTATAAGGGGAAGCGGATACTCACCATACAATAAGTCCTCCCATACTACATCCAACCAGTGCTCGGAACCACTACACGCCAATCCACCAATGTACACGCACTGCCAAGCCAACTAAATTAATTGAATTATACAGTTCTATTTTTAAATTTAGTCATCTATTGCACTTGAGGCTATTATGGGTATAGTTGGTGTAGTGGGTGTATTAACTATGGAGTTATAGTGGGTACAGAGCCCCTTTGTTAGTAATTGTTAGTGTTTACTGCTAAATTAGGTGGTTTCATTAACAGATATTATCAGATGCCCGTTGTAGCAACTATTGTGCTAAGTAAATATATGTGGCGTTTGTACGAAAGCTTTGATCAGCGTTGAAATTATTACTTATTGAATTATCTTAGGTTTTGCCGTTATGGCTACGGGCTAAGGTGGTGAAAGGGTTAAATCCCTTCTTTTATCCTTATTCGGACGAGGTGGCTTGATCGTGCGGGGGTTAGCGACGACGTAAGTGGGAATAGCTTCACCCAAAAACAGGTTTACTAATACGAAATAGTGGGCCTTTGAGGTGTAATACACCTAACCAATTCAACTACACTGAGCGTTTTATAAAACTCACTACACCCACTACACTGAAGATTTCGTGATTATGTCATACACCAACTACACGAAGGGTCTCAGTGTAGTTGGTGTAGTGGTTCCGAGCACTGATGTTGACACAGAGCTAGGGGGCGGAGAATCCACGTGACACCCCTTCGAATCACCACATCTCTTCTCTAGTAATGCAACCATAGCACGCTAAACAACGTTCTTTCTTACAAAGTAAATGCGATTTGAATTGTAATGTCACCTAATAAATACTTTAGTCAGGACCCTTGTCGTGGATCGCTGTTCAAAAATTACCCGGTCCTTTTATCCGCGAACCCCTTATTAGCTCCAAAGAGCCGCAGAGTCGTCTTGGACACATCGAAGATATCCATACCGCAATTCAAAAACTTTACGAAAATCAATTGTCAGCATAACAACAAAAGGTCGGGCTAAAATACGTGGTGGCATCGTAAAATGTGCGTTTCCTAGATGTCTACACGCAATGCCACTCTACCGTAGAACTTTCGTGGCCGCATGTGTCCTCGTTCCTCTGTTCTACATTTATTGGTGGAGGTTTGCGATCTATGGTACATCAGGCGGCTTAAGAGGCCGGCTTCCCAGTGAAGATGTATTCAACAAAACCCTAGGCGTAATACCCCTTTTCTTTTCTCATCCACGTTTTTAGCATCTTCATGTTCTAACGCCATGCGCAGTTCTCGAAAATCTTCGTCATCAATCTTCCGTCTCGAACAGATCGTCGAGATGCGATGGCTCTGGCAGGAGCTGTCAGCAACCTCACCTTCACCTGGGTCGACGGCGTGTCCGGCAATCAAGTGATGGATCCCACCACTCCAGTTAGTAACGGGGTACGCTCACCAGGCGCGAAAGGATCCTGGAGATCTCATATGAATGCGTTACAAGCTGTTGTAAGGGATAATCTTGGAAGCGCGCTGATTGTTGAGGATGATATCGACTGGGATATACGCCTGAAGTCTCAACTCCAGACTTTTGCGTCGGCCTCACGAACTTGGCTAAGAAAGTCAAAGTCGGATAATCACCCAGCTGAGATATTCGAATCTAATCCATCTCCACTTCAGAAAAATAGAGGAATAGTTGGCTCAAAATCTGAAAAGGACACAATCCAACTCGATCTTAAGAAAGTTGCCGATGGCGGAGCTTATCAAACTGCGTACGGGGACGATTGGGATGTTCTATGGCTCGGCCACTGCGGTACGGATTTCCCTTCAGATCAATCCTCGGTTCCGCCCCTGAGAATCGCGATACCGGATGACGACACGGTCCCAGTACCTAAGCACCTCAAACCTCACCCATTCGCCCTACAGGACAAGTTAGGTGAAATATACCCACCTCATACTCGTGTCGTGCATGCGTCCAGCGGGACCGTCTGTAGTCTTGCCTACGCAGTCAGCCTCCAAGGAGCCCGCAAACTGCTCTTAGAATTCGACGCCCACTATGATTCTCAATGGGACTTGATGTTGCAGAAATGGTGCGAAGGGGGGTACGCCGCTGCTAGTAAATCTCGAGCCGAGTCAGAATCAGATAGCGATGGTAACGTCTCTCACGACCATCGAGAGGCCCCTCTAGTTTGTCTTACTGTACAGCCGCCCCTATTTAGTCACCATTACGCTAAAGGGGGTGCTTCCAACATTCAAGGCCAGGGAGGTGGTTACGCAAAAGGAACAGGGACGCCGTATATAAGATTAAGTGTGCGAGAGAACCTGAAGCGATTGGTTACCGGAGCACCGGAGAGTCAGATGGTAGACCAACTGCCTGACGACGGAGAGCCCATATGGAAATAGTTAGAAGCTGTATACCTTAAGGCGAGATAATATTAACACAATGAATAATCGATTAAATAAATAAAAAGTGTGGACCGGCAGGGAATCGAACCCTGGACCTTTCGCAGTTTCATATGCTAAGCGAATGTTCTGCCACTGAACTACGGGCCCGTTGATGTCTGATTGTGTAGTAGACTGGAATTATGATGTAAACTTAGGAATAAGAAAAGAGGGAAGGAGGTTATTCGTAAAAGGAAGGAACGGAGAGGGAGTGGCACGCGCCTTCCACGGAGACTTTGTCCTCCTAGGTCTCGCCGCGATCTATACATTTAAATTGCGGTACCCGTTCAGTCTTATATCCAATCACCTACCTGAGTACCTAGGCACTACTCATCTAAGCATTCTGATCGCACGAACTGTATCGCCACCTATCCTTCATCTCAACAGCATCCTCTTGAGTTGCAATCAGTACTAGCCTTATGTGTACATGAGGTCAACGTACACTTTAAGATATGATACGTGTCGTGGAAAGCCACGTAGTCTTTGACTGGCTCGGGAGTCTGGAATCGTGTTGGTCGACCAAGGAAACTTGCCACCAGAAGTTACCCTTCTGACAAGATCTAGACCAAGAAGCAATGTTTTGAACTAATAATCTTGACTCTACTCCGAGTACAGTCATACATACCTAGTCATACCTACTTCCTGAACTAGGTAGGTAAGGAGTGGTAAATTGACACGTATTGGTGATAGGGATCCAACCTATGAATCATAATTTCGTGGCCTGGTGTATCGATGTGATCGAGCAAAGGGCAGTACTTTCTGCTATAATATCAGACTCCTTCACTCCCAAAAATCTTCAGAACTTATTCTTCTAAAGAATTTATAAATTCCTGAACAGTCTACAAATCTTAAACTATGAATTAGCCTAACTCAGCTCTCTATCGTTTCCATCGGATCCTTTTCGTCATTTCAACAAGAACGATGTCAGACAGTCTCACCGACGCTCAAAAGAAGGAGCTTGAGAAAGATCTCTCGAGGGAGCTCGAGAAGCCACAGCAGAGAGTTGCGCCTAGGGCCTCACGCGAGGAGCAGGATACGGCGCTTCAGAATTTGGTCGTGACTATGGCCGAAGCGAGGATTCTTGCGGACAGGATGTTAATGGATATGATGGATTTATCGTCGTCCGCTGCGAAGGCCAAGCGCGAAGAAAACGCGGCGAAAAAGGACTAGGAACAAGACCCCAAGACTAAATAAGGCCTAGAAGTTGGTACCTATGCAAAAAAGAAAAGAAAAAAAAAACGCTTAGGGAGCCTCATGTCCAAGCCGAGGTGGAGTTGTGTCGTCGTAAGGAGGGACTTGGTATGAGTTTCACAGAGAAGTCTTATTGACTTTCGACTGCTATCTATGTAGTGAGCAAGGCGTATCTCAGTACCTACGCATATAGTAATCTCTCGGTGGAAATAGTTGCTTTTTACAATCGATATATAAGGACGGAATTTGATTTTATCAAAGGAAACGGAGATCAAGCCTCAGTTGGCTTTATACTCGATCGAATCGCACATATTCTTTGCTACAAGGCTTCCCCCACGTTGGATCCTCTTCCATATGCCGAATTGAAAATACGTTTCCTCAACTCCTTTCCAGGCGAAAGTACGCGTCAACAAACAAGTAACGATATAAGGCTCGCATAACTTGAAGTCTCAACGTCAAGCTAGTATTTCAAATCGGCGGGATGAGGAACTGGACAGGTAGTACGACTTTGTGCTCGATCTAGGACAACGGCGGCGACACCTTTCATATCATACATGATGATTATTGTCGACCGGAATATTGCGGGGAAATGCATGTGCCCTCAAATTTCATAGAAAGTAAGCGCCCATAGGCTAACCTTATTTCTGCGGACCCTCTTGTACAAAGTTACAGGGGACTAGGATTTTGTTTGACCAATCAGTACGGAAGGAACTACCTAGCGTGTGATATATACTGGCTTAAGTGGCGGTTTCTCCATCGAAGAATGAACGCTGTTTATCTTCCAATTCCAGGGGCCCGACTAGCTCACCGGTAGAGCGCCTCACTAGTACCTTCCCTCATAGGTTTATGAGGAGGCAACAGGTTCGACTCCTGTGTTGGGCATTTCTTTTTGCTTATTTTTTTCTTCTTATCTTGCGCCCTACTGCGTGGATGGATTTTCTTCTTAGAGTTGGTCTCTCAGTGCTCGTGTTCCACTTCTTTCTCCTCACCTCTAACTCAATTTTTGAAGAGCTCTGCCACCAAATTTTCGTCTCAATTGATGCCGCAGGTAACTTAATATCAGTAGGTAGAAATGGCACGCATAATTATTGTCGGATAAATGGGGTTGGTTGCCTGCCATACGACAAACATATTCAACGACGGACCTAGATACTAAATAAACTCTTACGCATCTAATCAAGTCACGAATAAGACATTGACTCGTGTATATATAATCTTGTTCATTCATCTTCTAGACTCTAACGAGCTACGCGAATACCAAGCATCCTCGTTCTATCATGCCATTCCGTCCGTCTAAATTAACGCCTGTACGAGACCCTCTATGTGTGGTCAATTATAATGCCAATTTCCTATTCATCCCCAATTCATCCCCAATTCTATGGACGACCTCATAATCAACCGGAGCCAAGCCCGGAAGTTAAAAGAACCACCAACTGCTAAAAAAGAAATGCGTGCCGGATTCATCTAAGTATCATGCGGGAGAGAAGCGAGAAGCTATTACTCTTCGTCATCAGTGTCCAGGGGGTGGGGAGTGCCCTTAGGACTGTTGAGCCATTCGATATGGCGCAGTCTTCTGCGAACCTCTTGCTCCTTCAGCTCCTTCTTGGTCTTCTTCCTCTTCTTCTTAGCCTTGAACTTCAGGGGCGAGTTATCTTCAGCACCGGAGTTGACAGCACTACTAACGGCACTGCTGGCAGCTGTACTATTGACTCCACTTGTGACAGCGCTATTGAAACCACTGTTTGGCTTGCTATCTTCGAAGCGGTCCAGGGCGATCGAAGCATTGCCCTTCAAGACCATCTTTCCGTCGTTGATGTGCCATTGCTCGGCGGCTAGGGCACCAACGAACTCTTCGTTGTGGGAAATCATGACCACGCCACCCTTGAAGTCTCGGATCGCGACAGCAAGACCTCCAAGAGAATCACGGTCCAAGAAGTTAGTGGGTTCGTCGAGCACGAGTAAATGTGGGTTGTTCCACATGGCACCGGCAATAACGACCTTAACCTTCTGGCCTCCCGACAAGCTGCCGATTTCATTGTGGTTGGCAATCTCGGGGTCGAGGCCAAGATCATCGAAATGCTTAGAGATAACCGTTGGCTGAAGCTCTCGGTAGCCAAGACCCTCGCGGGACGCTTCGTGATCGTCGAATTCTTGTATAAGCTTGTCGAAGCCCCATTCGATAAGGGTCTCGCGAGATACTTGCGAGTTGTATTTTGGTAGCCAAGCTCTCCATTTCCTGCATATCTATCGTTAGTACTGGCTTCTCCGACATAATATTGACGGATAACTTACACTTCATATTGGAATGTCTTCTTGTATTTCTGACGACCGACAAGAGCCTCGACTTGTCGCTCGCCTTTTCCGTCATTGAGATTGATTCGCTTGTCCATTTGCTCTTTGTCCTTGTCGGAAAGAATTCGGGTTTGCTTCAAGAATACTTCTCGATCGTCTCCATTAGCGTATCGCCATTGCAGATACTGATTAGGCGTTTTCTCGAGATGCATCTCGACGTGTTCAAGCGCGTGTTGCTTGATGTAGCCAATTCGCAGGTTAGGGTGCTTCTCAACTCTTCCGCTGGTAGGAACCACTTCACCCGTCAATATCTTAATCAAAGTTGACTTTCCTGCACCGTTAGGTCCGATCACGGCGACACGGGATGAAAGACATAGCTGGCAAGAGACATCGCTGAGCGATGGTTTAGGCGCCTTGGGATACTGGTAAGAAACTCCAGTCATACGGATGATAGCTCTTGTTTGGGATTTGACACCGCTCAGAATGCCCGGAGGTGGGAACTTGAACTGAACATTGGAGGCAGAAAGAGTGTAGTAAGACTTGGCTTCCGGTCGGACATTGACAAAGTCCGAGAGGTTGCCCTTGAAATGACCTAGTTTCTTTCCGGGCTCGTAGTGGTAGATGTCGGTCGTCACGTTATCCAGGAAACCGGAGTCGTGGGAAACGATCAAACTGGTGATGTCCGTGTGGGTCTTCAAGTAGTTTTCTAGCCACGCAATGTTGGCGACATCCAAGTGATTGGTAGGTTCGTCAAGTAACAGAACATCGGCTTTCTGCAACATTGCTCGAGCAAGAGCGAGCTTCATCTTCCAACCTCCCGAAAGGGAGCCGACCTTTTGAGCTTGTTTACCTTCAGGACCCGCGGTAAAGCCAAACTCGGCAAGAACCTCAGAAATCCTGTCCCTGCCCTCAGATGCGATCGTAGGGTCTTTGGCCATGAAATCAAGGATGGTTATATCGGCATCCTCTCCTTGATTGTGCTCGACGTAACAAGTACGAAGGACATCCTGTGGCGGGAAGCCCTCTAACTTGCCACCAGCGATACTCTTCATCAGGGTAGACTTGCCAGCACCGTTACGACCACAAAGACCATATCGGTGTCCCTTCAATAGTCGGAGATTGGTATGAGACAGAAGAAGCATACCACCGTAGGCCAGTGAAAAGTCAGCATTGACAATCTCGATCTCGCCATCGTCCTCCTTCTCCGGTACACCATACTTGCGGTGGTCCTCACCAATATAGAAATCATGGACACTAGAAGCGACAGCATCACTAGCGCCAGATTGATGCATCAGATCCTTCAGATAAGGCGCAATCCTAGCAGGAATTCGGTCAACTTGGCGGTGGTTGGCATCCTCAGCTACCATCTCGCAGATATAAGGGCGGGCGAGTTTATAGAACTCCAGGTCGTTTGATAATCCTCCATTCTTCTTAATCACGGAGTCAAGGACTTTGGCGACATCATCTACAGAGCACCTCTCCACCATTGCTTCCTCATTACCCATAGCCTTATCCATAACGTCCAAGGCTCTGGTCGCTAGTTCTCGCACCTCAGGCAGCGGGGCACGCTCGACGACGCTCTTCACACCAGGCTGAAGTTTAGGCAGGAATGTGCGCGCCTCGATAGGATCGTGGACTAGCTTTGTCAAGTTCTCGGTAATTACGACAGTCTGTCGCAGAACCTCCTGAGCAGTGGTAGGGTTGTTGAGAGTTCGCTCAAGGAAGGGGGTTAGAAGGGCGAGGACGGGAGATGTCACTTCGGCAACGAAAGTTGTCTGCGAAAGAGCATGGATTGCCTTCTGAAGAGTCTGGGTAGATGGATGATGCATAGTGTCGACAAGGAGGGGAATCCTAGGGGCAACATCGTCGTTGGATAGCAGTGTAGTAAGGGATTGCATCGTGATGAGTGCTTGCTTCTCGACCTCGGATTTAAGGTCGTGCATGTTTCCCTCAGCGATGGGGATCAGGCTAGCTAGCTTGGCCCCCATAGCTTCTCTGAGGATATCCTTTTCTTGGGCCTGCTCTTTCGTGCAGCCAATTTCCATCTTCGCCTTGTCGGCCATCCTCTGCATCAACTTCAAGGCACCAACCGTACCCTGCCATTTTCCGGTCTTCTTAGATAAGTAAGCGATAAGAGCGGGTAACAAGCCAACAACCATGGCCTCGGGACTCAGAAAACCGAAGAGTGCATCGAGACCATATTGTGCGGCGTCGCGAACCACTGAACCTTTATCGGCCAAGGCGTCCAAGGCGCACGACACGATACCGCCATCTTGGATAAGGAAAACGATTTCGCTCGATTGCTGTCGGGGCGGGAATTTCTCGAAGAGAGCGCCGAGAAGATTCTGAGAACTCTCTCGTCGCAAACCACTCTTCTTATCAGAAGCGGCTTTCTTGAGTTCTGCCACTATGCCATAATCATGTAGACCACGAAAGCCAACGGTGTTGAGAAGAAGTTCGCAAAGTCCATAGCAGGCGTCGATTGAAGCAGCCGAAGTCTTAGCAGTGAATATAGTATTGAGAATTGACGATACATCTTCTTGCGAAGGCGGGGGAGGGGCACCAGATTTGGTCACCATTATCGGCGGTGCGATTTGATGAGGCATCGTGAATAGTCGGTGTTGGTAGATTAGACAGAATAAGGAGAAAGACGACCCAAATTGATTTAAAAAAGGAATGGGTGTCGCAGAGCGATAAATGAGGGCCAGCCGAAACTGCCCGAAATGCCCTCGATCGTGGGCGCTGGAAAGTTTGTCAATGAACCAGTGTGTTGTTTTGTTGATGGGAAGATGAAGTTGTGAGAAAGGTGAGATCGGTTATCTTCAAAAGCCCATTCAAAAAAAATTAGCCTTATCGGGTAGCCCCTCGAAGATTTTTTCTTCTATTAGTCAGCCCCACAATTAGAAAGTAAAATGGGTCGTATTAGGTACGTACCTCGAACACGTTTTCCTTCTGACTTCTTCCAGTGGAGTTCAATCTAGATCTCTCATCAAGCTTAATTCCGAAACCACTTGATGCTTACCAAATTAATCGTGAAGGGTGGATGACCTCGAATAGGGATCCATGGTGGATATGCTCGCTTTATATATGTTCGTATCATACGGAAAATAACTCAATTCTCTTCAATGTTAAAGGTTGGCGCCACTTCAACATTAACATCTCTCTGACAACTCATTATCCACGATGTTTACAAAGAGCAAGCCACACGTCAAATATGAATTCAATCCCAAACCTTCTCACATCGTCTTCCTCTTTTCTCTTCTTCTCTTCTCTTCTTCTCTTCTTTCTTCTCTTCTTTTCTCTCGTATTCCCACTCAGCCATGCAGCTAATGGCGGATTGTTAGGATGCTTCATTGAAATTTTAGTCCTATTAGACTCCGGCAGTTCCAACATCTTAAACCCGACAATTCCCAGAGGAGGAAGAGTTTCGATACGAGACGGCTGACGGATATGAAGAACCTCTTCAACACTTAAAGTATATCGCATAATACAGAACCAACTACCAGAACACCGATGTGGTATACTCGAGCACACAAGTGGGTGTGGATAGCCTCAACGTACTTATTATTCCGCTTAGGCCACAGTTTAGT